TTAAAAAAAGAACAAACACAAACCACTACATCAGAACACCAGATTAATTAAACCTGTATGTGAAAGCCCACCCACTATCCTAAAACCTATTTATTTATAGACAAAAGAAACAAAACTTGTGACTGTGTTTGCACTTTGCTGTCTCAAGTGCCCAGTTAACTGTTCCTCCAGATCTGTGTTTTTGGCTACACGCAGACCAGTTCTCAGGTTGCATCCCAGTGCATCGACCATGGCCACCTCTGCAGACCCGAGACAGACCCAGACCTCACAGCTTAATCTCTCATGAAGTAATGGCTGTAAGCACTGACCACAAAACACTTACTCAGCACCAAAGCATTTAAGACAAAATAGATCTCAAGAACAATAAGCTGGTCATTTTTGGAAACTTGCCTTTCCTTCTGTGTGACTTCCACTGCTGCAGAGAGGAAGGCCCATCTTCATCCACCCTCTTCTGCAGACTCTGCCTTGGTATTGGAAGTATTTCATCAGTCCCTGCCAACTTTATCCTCCTATGATTTTCAGTTTACAGCCTGACAAACCAGCTGCATCCCTCAGAACTGGAGCTATCATTCCTGTAATTACCACCTCATGGGTTTAGTCACATACAGCTGACACAGGGGAACCACTGAATTGCCTTTTATTCCTTCATCAGCTAGCTCCCTATTAGGTTAGATCAATACATCTATACAGGAAAGTAATATAAAGAAGTACAACCCACCATATAGTAACTTCCTCTCACCCACCTGGCCACATACAGTGCTCATGAAATTATTACAACTTGGTATTCTTCAGCTATTACTCAACACTGGCAAAAATCAATTCCTCCTTCACAATAAAATATTTTACTAAGCAATAAAAGGGCCAGGTCCTTTCAGACGATTCAGGAAAGAAGACTTCAGCCTCCAGATTCTGTTGTACTAAGCACAATGCAAAATAAAGATCAATGTGACAAAAGAAGAGCTCATACAAGTAAGCCAATCTTCTGTACACTACTAAGCCACATTAAAAAGCCTTTTAATCCCTTGTATCTGACAATGCCTGCTGGTTTGAACCCCAGAGAGTTAATTCATTCAGACTCTGGCAGTGGAATCTTTTCAAAGCCAAACATGGCCTCATGATTGTCACATCATCCAAGTTTTTACACCAGTTCAGTGAGCTGCCCAAGCCCCCTGGATCACCTTTGCACTGAAATAAATGGGTATGAACACATCCTCCTTGAAAAAGATGTGCAGAAGACTTAGGAAGGAAATACCCATCCAAACATCACTGGGTACAAGTCTCAGAGAGGCATGTACTGGCACTTTAAAGCACATACCTTGCTCAGGTACCAGCCCAGGAGAATCCACCTCCAAGGCTGCCTTTTAGAATAAGACTGCATGTTCATGGGAAACAGACTAAGAGAGACTCCAGCTAGGCCAGGAGTACCTAGGCAGCAACCCTACAGTCTGCAGGATGGATCTCACAGGGACCTGCTCCAGGAAAAGCCACTTGCATGGTAAAAATGACTAATGAAGGTGGTATTTTTATATTATTTTTTCAAGAAGCAAAAGTCAAGTCACTCTTCCCCAAACATTTAATATGCAGAAAAACTGAACACCCAGGGCTACTATGGGAGGACAATGGCATTTGGCAAGACTTCCTTGGACACTGTCCACATGCAACACCTACCACAGGACAAAAATTACCAGTTTTCCCCCGACAAATACTGAGGCAGATAAGGACTGGATCAGTCTGGTGGATGGGTTATAAGAGCTAGAAAAAAATTTGCTTTATATTGTAGCAGTTACTAAGAGCTCTGGTCAGGAACTGCCATGGTTAAGGCCCAGCTGGGTTTCTGTAGGGGGAGACTGGTGCAGGAGGCACTGCAGGACCTGTCCAAACCAAGGATCTCTCCCCTTTGTCCTTGGGGAATGGCACAAATCACACAGAGCATCATGGCAGGCAGCAGCATCTAAAAATGGAAAAGATTATTAGGTCATGTAACACCTCTTCTAGCCAGGGATGAGACCTACGTTTTCTAAAATGAAATCTTTCAAACCCTAATTAAATGTAGTCAATCCTCATTAAAGATAAACTAGGTTAATATTTATGAGAGACATTCTTTGTGCTGCATACTATCTAACCTCATTTAAAGATGTATCTGGAAATACTTTGAAATACAGTTCAGCTGGCTTCTTCTGCCCATTGATTTTTATTTTTCAGAGTACTCTGAAATCATTCCTATTTATACTTTTGAAAACAAGTCGCTGGCAGTAAGCCAAAATTGTTTAGGCCCAAATCATGACCTTCCTTGAAACTGCTATAATCTGACTCAAGTAAACAGAATTTCCCTCACACTGTTTTTGTGAGGAGGGATGGGTGGAGAACTGCCCTATTTTTGACACACCCATAGACCAGAACCTACCCCTTTCCTCAAGCCTGGCTTTATGGCAAGGGCTTCCTTTGCCCCCCAAATATGTACACCCTGTTAACCCCCCACTTTCACATCTCTGTTCATCCTGCTCTACAATGAGAAGGCCAAAGGTTCTTCTAGCTAATGGCAAAGATTATGTGCAAATAAAGTTGTCTGAAGTTCTTTAAATGTATGGAATCCATTTGGTGGACTCTGTTTGTGCCAGGGTATTGTTGGATCTGACCTGCAACTGCAAGTGAGGAATCTGGTTCAATTTCCATTTATTTCAAGGTCACTTATACCCCTGCAGCAGTAGGAATGTAGGATGTTAACTGTGAATTGGGACAAATGTACTTCTGGAGCTCTGTAACATCTGTAACTAATGCTGAATGCATTGTAAATGCCTAGAATTAATGGCTGACTTAAAAAGAGAATTCTGATTGAAAGGAATAAAATAATGATATTATTTGGCTGCAGCTTAAGCTACAGCAAAATACGTAACAAATCTAAGATGTGGTTTCAACATGGGTTTGGATTAATCAGAATTATATCGATGCCAATACTGTACAACAGGACAGAATCTGATGTGTGCCTCAAGTTTACTGAGCGTGACATCTTGCTTTTGACAAGAATAATCTCAAAAAGTTCTCGGTGTGCTGCAGAATGGAAACAGATCAGAGGAAGTCTTTGTAGAGCTTTCAGTGCACAGCAGTGTCAGTAGGTTTACATTTTCCCTGCTGAAGTCTAATAAACAGTAACCAGTGTTCAAACACAGCGACAGAAACGGGAGAGCAACAGACCAAATTCGTCTTCATTGGTTTAAAATGTGGGTCAGGGCCTGTGCTGAGAGCAGTATTTGAGTGTAAAGAAAGCTGCGGCAGTTCCCCATCCCGCGTTTCCAGCGCTCCCGTTTCAGCACGGCCAGCCCGGGCCGGGTACCGGAGCCCGCGGGATGAGC